AATAGTGCAAATAAGGAGGTAGCTTCTTATCAAGTTTTTCTGGCAATAATATTTATGTGGTGTCACAATTTAAATGCTGCTCTTTTAACTTTTACAGATTTTTGCTGAAAATAATTGCAAAAGCATGTAAATGTCTTATTTCCTTCATAAGCCTTTGAAAATAACCCTCCTGGGTCTCTTCCCTTTTGCTCTCAGCTTTGAATGGCACTCCAGGGAGTTGGCATCTCTTATCAGAAATGAGCAGCTAGGCAAGGGGCAGACAGCATATTGAGAGACCATAATAATGTGTTGGTCAAGGGCATCAGACAGGTACTGAAAGGTCTCTTGTTGTGTTAAACAAATGCTATTTCCTTCCTGGCTTAAGTGGGAGCTACTTTTATTTTTTTTGTAAGCTTCTCTTTTGGCAAGAGAACAATAGGGATAAATAAGGTAACCTTTCCAGTGAGACATATGCATTAGATTATCATAAATCCACAGATCAAAAGTGCCGTGGTCAATGAGAACAGGCATTGTAAGATTAAATAAAAGGACTAATTGAAAGTGGCGTCCCATGGTAGACAGAGAACTGACACAATATTGAGGAGATATAACCATAGGCTAAGTTGAAAGGGGAGGAATATAATGCACAGTACTTTTTTCAAAGGTTGCAATTCTGTTTGTACTGATGATTGAGCAGGTTTTGTGTGTTATGGGAATAAGAGAAAGTTAAAAGTATATTCTGTCTGGTCTGTAAAATACCAATAATTTGTTGGTGAGACTTCATTATATACCTGTAGGTTTTTCCTGGGCTAGAAATATATTTATGCTGCAACTCATTTCATTCAGTCTGTATTTGACTGAATTGAGATTCTAGGGTGATCTTGAGGTAAAAAATATTTCTAATAGAATTCAAGGTTTAGGGCATTGGAGTGGACTTCTTTTACCAGGCCATAATTCAGATGATGGTGGTTGCTCTATTGTAAAGTATTGATGTCTTGCAATAGTGTTTTAGCAAACTCAGGGAAACAGAAGCAGTGGAAATCCAGCTCTGTGAGTCACTAGCAGTGTTTAGTATTCATACCTGCATATTCTAGGAACAGGAACCAGCACTTATTAAATTAGATACCCAAATGAAGTAGTTAATTGATGAGCTGTTAACTTAAGGATGACTGGAGCTCTTCGTGGTCATAATTGAAAAGACATTCCTTGGGAAGAGCACTGTCATCAGGATAGTAATTTGAAACCATTTAGCGAGTATAGGATGAAAATAAGCTTCTAGGTTCTGTTCATCCCTTTTTATTCCTCTATTTTTCTCCTTTCTGCTGCTTCTTACATTCTCCCACAAAGAAAAGGTATTTGCATGAAAGACTGACTACCCAGAATTTGCTGTCATCGAGTAGCAAATTAAAATTTTAAGGGAATAAAGACAGAGTTTATTTGGTCTTACAGTCAATTTGTCATAGATTTGTAGATGTGCTTCTCAATTCCTGTTACCCATCCCTGTGAAATCATTGAAATGTCATTCACCCTCCCTTATGGGTAACAAATTCTCGATAGTACTATTAAAATTCTGCATTATTTTTAAATCAACTTTCTCTGGATGTTCTTATCAAGCTGAATATAAATACTGAAAAGACAAGATTTTTGAGATGATTGGACAATATTGAACAAGAAATACTTGTGAAAGACTTCCAGGAAGATTAGAGAGTTCTTGTTGTCCAGTAATAGGTGAAAGCAGCTGGTTTTTAGCCTTACATTTACTAAGATTTCTGTATGATTAAATTAATTGTTTCCCAGAAAATTGTAGCAACGGAAATGGTAGTCAAATGTTACTGTTTCCAAATTAAGTACTAAGGAAAGCAGAGAAAAACAAAATGCTGGCAAAAATTTACTGTACTTTGATAGATAACACATCCAGGCATGCAGACAGTGACCTGCTAGGTTACTTAACAGGAGCTAATGCACAGCACAGTTGTGTTAAAGACAGTTGGGAAATACTGTAGAACATTGGACAATTCTATTCCTTTTTTATTACTCTGCTATTAGCAATTAGAAATTGGACTAGATTATACTGAAAAACTGTGTAATGCTATTACTTTAGTAAGTTTGTATTGTGAGAATTCTGGTGGCTGCCTAGTCAGTCTTTTTCCCCAGCTACTGATGGCAAAGGTTTTCTTCGTGATTCGCCAACATTTCCTTGCTTGCTATTTAAGAGACATTTCTGTTGTCCAAAACTGCCTGCAAAAAAAGAAGGGGAAAAATGCTACTGTAAGTGCTTAAGTGTTTTGAAGACTATTATTGTGTCCCCCTTTTAGGCTTTCCCCCTTCCCCAAGGTTAAATAAGTTTGTAAGTTTGCTAGTTTCTTGAAGCCTACAGCAGAGCACGGTGTTGCTGCAGAGCCTGTGCCTGTGTGCCCAAGCGGCAGAGGAGGGGATGGCATCCTGCCTCCTACAGCCACCGCTGTCCCTGGCACTGCCAAGACCTTGGACATGGCAGGGGGGTCTCTGGCCTTTTATCAGTGTCATGGCTCAGTCAGTGACAAGAGTCGTAGTACAAATGAGAATGGTATTAATTAGAGGGCTTGACTCAAATTCAAGGTAGACTCATCTGCCTAGTTTATTTTCATATATTGTCTTGAGGGACATGTATAGATCCTGTTCTCTGTCATTTTTTGCAAGTTTGTGTTAACAAATGCATGAAATCCTTATCCTGAAATCAACATACATCTTGGAGCTTAAAGTGAAACAGGTAAGATGCACCTGAAAAAGAAGCCAACAGAAAAAAAAAAATAATACATTTTTCTTGATAAAAATACTGTGTCACATTTTCCTTTAAAGTTTTGTTTGCTTTTCGAGGTGTTGGGTTTTTTTTCAGAATAATAGGCTTTCTGCCAGGGCTCACCTTCAGCCATCCCCATTAAAAATTGATCTGAATGTGATAAAACTCAGTTTTATATGAAGTCCGTGTTTATACTGAGATAACACTACAAAGCAATTTGTGACTGCTCTGGTGAAGGTAGACATGGGAGCTTTTTTGTCCTGTGATAACAACCCTCCCTCACTGCTTTCCCCATGGTATTGGAAGACTAAACCACAGTACTAATATACAGAAGCGGGGAGTCTGATGCAGATGTCGCAGGTTGAAGTGGAAGAATAGCAGCAGCACGTGGGAACTGTTTGCCCAGGGGGACAAAACAGACTGGCCTTAAGGACTGCAGGAGACATCATATGTCTTGGACATATGCCATTGTACTTCCTAGCCACAAGGGCATATTGCTGGCTCATGGTCATCCTCCTGTCTACCAGGACCCCAAGGCTCTTTCACCTACACTACTCTCCAGCAGGTCAGCCCCCAACCTGTACTGGGACATCGTGTTGTTCTTCCCCAAATGCAAAACTCTACACTTGCCCTTGTTGAATTTCATCATGTTTCTCCCCGCCCAACTCTCCAGCCTGTCTAAGTCTCTCTGAATGGCAGCACAGCCTTCTGGTGTGTCAGCCACTCCTCCCAGCTTAGTGTCATCAGCAAACTTGCTGAGGGTACATTCTATACCCTCATCCAGGTCATTGATGAAGATGTTGAACAACACCGGTCCCAGTACCGACCCCTGAGGGAGTCCACTAGTCACACACTTCCAACCAGATTCTGCCCCATTGACTACAACTCTCTGACTCCTTCCTTTCAACTAGTTCCTGATCCACCTCACTACCTGATCATCAAACCCATACCTGATCAACTTATCTACAAGGATGCTGTGGGAGACGGTGTCAAATGCTTTACTGAAATCAAGATAAACCACATCTACCGCTCTACCATCATCTATCCACCTAGTAATTTCCTCATAGAAGGCTATGAGGTTAGTCAAACATGATTTACCCTTGATAAAACCATGTTGACTGCTCTTGATGACCCCCATGTCCTTGATGTGCCTAGAGATAGTAACAAGAAGAAGTTGTTCCATCACCTTTCCAGGGATGGAGGTGAGACTGACCGGTCTATAGTTACCCAGGTTCTCTTTCTTGCCCTTCTTGTAGACTGGTGTGACATTTGCTATCCTCCAGTCCTCAGGCACCTCTCCTGTTACCCATGACTTACCGAAGATGATGGAGAGTGTCTTCGAGTTATTTGGAGAAGGAAGAATGAAATAAAATCAGATGCATAAGATCTTTTCCACTAATCCTTTCATGAACACTTTACTCCATAGTAGGTCTCCTTGTTTCGTTTCTGTAGAGCACAAGTATTTCAGGCAAGAATTTGATTTTGTTCCATTTTGTTATTCTAACCTGCTTTAAGAAAAAAACTAACAACAAAGCAAGCAGCCCCCCAACAACAGCATGTAACTCTAGAAAAGTGTAGATACAATACACAGTAAAGGAAAGTTCTGTCTGGTCTTTGCTAGCTACAGATGCACAACTTGCCAATCTTCTAAACAGCAATCTAAGCTGGGAAAAATCTTGGGATCAACCTCTATATCAGAAGGAAAAATAACCCAAATTTCTGTGGAATAAAAGTATGTACAAGGGAGTTAGTGCAGAATAGGTTACTGTGTTTTTAATTCTCACCCTTGCTTTTGTTACACCAGCTTCCTTCTGTAGACAGGCTTAAGGATGAAACTCAATTTTCAGAGGGAAATGGGATATAACAGTGCAACTATCATTACAGCTTGTGAGCTGTATGAAAATATGTTGAGAGTTTTATGGCTTACTTTTGCTATGCAGATCTGTTTAAAATAAATGCCTTTTTTATATTCTGCTGCAACATCAGTTTTATTTCATGTGGAACTAAGCTATTTTACCTTCTATTTATGCATATTCTGAGGTATCATTAAAAGTAACATTTTAAGCTAGATCATGTGAAAAAAATATCAGCAAAATGCATTCTTGGGTTTAAGGTTGCTGCTTCAGGTTACTTTCTGGAAAAGAGAACAATATATTGTTGTATGAACCTATTGATGCAACTACTTTATGTATTGTCTCTGCCCTCTTTACACTCACATTTTCATCCTTGTTTTCTCCAACAGAAGGGAGAACCAAGCTGCAGTGTTCTTTCTCCAGAAACCACAGAGCAGCTGACCTTTGAGATTCCTCTGAACGACTCTGGCTCTGCTGGACTTGGTGTGAGCTTAAAAGGCAACAAATCTCGGGAGACTGGAGCTGATCTTGGGATTTTCATCAAATCTGTTATTCATGGAGGTGCTGCTTTTAAGGTATGGAAGGAACACATCAGACAATGACTGCGTTACAATTCTGACATTTCTTTTTTGAGTACTGAGTCTCACCTGATAAGCATCCTAGAAATAAATACCTTTTTGTCACTCATTCCTTCAGGTGAACTGTAAATCTGCTAATGTTTTGTCTCAATGTTCTGGTGTTGTATATGGTACACTTTTCCACAAGTGAATTGATGGTAACCTTGAGGGGCATTTGGATGCTGCAGAAAATTAGGAAGGGGGAGGAAGGCTAAGAGTGTGTGGATACAAGGAATGGCTGCCTCTCAGCTTCCCCACAGCCCACAGAAGGGCATGGGAAGGTTTGTGTGCTTTTAGGCTCAGTGATAGAAGTTAGGTGTGTACGTTTCTCATCTATCTGCACTGCTTTTGGTCCTCCCAAAGTGACACAGGCAGACCCGTAATAAGCAAAAGACAAACTTTTTAGAAAAATTAGAAATTGACTGATCTGTGAGGATTTAAGGATTCAGGATTATGTGTTTCATTTATGCTGTAAATGAAAAGCTTAGCTCATTGTTTTCTTTTTATTCAAAATAGTTTTTACAACTGTAGTAAAAACACAACTTGGCTGAGCCTGGCATCGGTTGTGCAGAAGTTACAAATTGTTTCTGAGGTGCATTGAATTGGTAACATTAAATTGGTAAACCACAGTATTTTGAATTGTTCTGTACCCTCTAAGGACTATGCAAGGACTGTTGTACATTTTTAAGATTTAAAAGTATTTTAATTATTTTCTAATCCTTAGGAAATCTGTTAACTGCATTTTTTTTTTTCCCAAATAAAACTTGGAAAAGGGGAACTTTCTTGAAATTAGAAACAAAAGTCTTAATCTTTCAGGGCTAATGTGTTTAACTATTGTGAATTCATAATGTAATTTTTTTCTCTTGTGCTATCTCAGCAATTCCTGACAGTTCTCTCTTCTATAAAAATACCTTTTAATTCTGTGTATGTAAATTCCTCTACTGACATCAGCCTGCTAAGTAAGACAATTCAAAGCATTAAAACTTTCATGATCATCTATTTACAGCAGACGGTAAATAGCAATAATCAAGAATTTAGCTTTGGTCTGAATGTTTAATACTCCCCTGCTTCTCTTATTTACCTGTCCTAGTCCCACAGTTATTTCAAAGCTCAGACTTTCTCCAGGATAACAGCCAGGTACTTGCAGTTGAGAACAGCATCTGTGGTTAGCTCAGGGTTAAATGACAAGTGAGTAAGCTCCTATACATGGTATATATCAGAAAGAGTTAGGCACGATTGGCCAAATTAGGCCTGGATAAACTCAATTTATGTGCATGTGTGCTAAAGAGTGCAACTCATTTTACTGTGAAAATGAGGGTGACCTCCTTGTGTTCCCAGCTCTGTGTTCCCTCAGTAATTGTCCACACCAGTTGCAGTAACAGTGTACATTGCCACAAATAAACTAATTGTTTTGAATTGCAAAGCTTGTGGAGCCATGTTGTGGCAGCATTAGTGGGATGACTACCTGACTTGTCCCATCATAGACACATAAGACAGCTCTGTCAAGCACTGTACATTTACCACTATCTATTCTCCCATCATTACTCCAGAGCGGAACCTCTGTTCTCACACCAAAGTAAATGGGACACTGATAAAATTTGTCAGCATGACTAAAACATTTTGTCTTTTGATAACCTGTGGTGCTATGACCTGTTCTCTATTCAACCTTGTTATAGCCCTTTCACCAATTAGAACTGTTTAGTTATAAATCTGAGTATAGGCTCCAGAACAGACGAGATAGCAGCTGAGGCTCTAGCTTCAACCAGAACTGTTCAGAGAATCTTTCTGATGTTTTATACATGTACCCATAAAATGCAGTCATTCTGGCAATGTCTTAAGAACCAGTTTTCTGTTGCATAAGTATGGAGAACAACTGTCTTTCTCCTAGCTAATGACCTTTGTGTAGAACAAAACATCATCAGTGGGTATTAACAATAAAATGTCTTGTATAAAGTTAAAAACCGTGCACATATTTGTACATAAATATTTAAAGATGTCCTCATTGTCCTTATATCAAGTGTTCTCTTGTTCAGGTTTTTACATAAAAAGCTTTTCTATCCAGCTGATTGTTGTCCAGAGAATTTTCCCATAGGATTCATTGTAACCCTCTGAAACAGAGTATTATGGATTTAGACATGTGCGTTTGCTTTTCAGTGTCCGAAGTTTTCCTGAGAAACTATCACAGGAGGGAATCATAATGCTCACTGACATGAGAATTCTCTCACTATTTCTCACTTCTGCATTTAGAGTTTGACATTCATTCCAATTTTGTGGTATCATGCTAATATAAGGGGGAGCTTTATCCCCTTGTCTATACAGTCACTACTTGTCTTCAAAAGAAATCATGTACTATATTGAACTTCAACACACTTGTTTCACTGTTGAAGTAAATGCTCAGTATTTCTAATGCTGTACAAAGGTTTTATAATATTACATTTATTTCACCAGCATGTTTTTTAGAATGAAGAGTTATGTATAAGATGCAAACAATTTGGGTTGGTTACTGTTTTCTCTTATTGGTCTGAACCAAAGGTCTGAAGAGAGGCCAACATTCTGTTGAGAGTTATCTGAAACGTTAACATATTCATCTAGCTCTATAAGGGAGCTGAAAAAAAAAAAAAAAAAAAAGAGGAAAATAGAAGTCTCTAATTCTATACATTATAAATTTTTTGTACTACCTAACAATTTTAGAAAATTCTGATGCATCTTGCATTGCACATGCTACTGTAAGACCCAGTGCCTATTTACAGCTCTTGTTACAAAACCGAACAAAGTAAAAATGCCTGAATGTTCTTAGTTCGTGTTCTAAGACTGCAGGATTAAAACCAGTTACATTTGCTAATTGAACCACTCTGTCCCTTCTTAACCTTCTTTTGTGGTTTTTGAAGTGTCTGCTTTTTATCATCCCTAAGATGAAGAGGTTGCTGAAGTACTTGTTATCTGTAATTACACAGAACCTTTTATGTGGAGGAAACTAATATTTGACTGAGTTTAAATGCATCATCTTTACCCATATCTTTAGGGATTTCAGCCTTGTCCATCCCAAGACATCTTGGCTTTTTCACTTGTGATGCATTCCCCATGATCAGGTACTTGATGTCTACTGCATCTGAAATGCAGCAGAGTCATTATTAGAAATAATGGAATATTTCATAAGTGTGAATTTGTTAAAATCAAACATGGTGTAGCTTGAACCTCCTTAGGGCTTCTGAGTGCTGCTGCACTAAGCATTGCTGCTTGTGTGCAGTGAACGGGGAAACTGGATGATTGCAATAAATTCCATCAATGAATTCCTTCTGAGAGAAATGTCATTGATGTGATAAGGGAGATAATTAGTTGTGCTTTGATTTAAAATATAAGTCTATGAAGAACATGGCATTTTATCTCCCTGCTCTACTGTAGAAAGCATGAGAGTCTTGTGACTGACTGTGGCAGCCGTGTAGTGGTAGGTTTCACCCCGTGTTATGAATTTTTAAATAAGGAAGCAAACAGTAAATTCATCCTTTATTATATGCAGTTTCAGATACACATCTGAATACTGGTTTGCTGAAATGCTAAGTGTTGTTTTTCTACTCAGAAGCCACAAAGAAGCCTACCTTTCAGAGATTAAAGAACAACATTTAGCTTGTTTTCAGCCAAACAGATTGTCTTGCAGTTCAGGATTCTAGACCAAGTCATAACACCAGTGATGTGAAAACCTGTGTTGGGAAAGTATTTAGACATTGGGATATTTTTTTTCCAGTCTTTACAACAGCAAAAGGTTTTTCTGTGAAACAACTTCTACCTGAGTATGTATGAAAATTGTGTTCAGGTGTCTTCCAGCCTACCTTGTACAGGTGACTTAGCAATTGTAGTTTATCAGCATTTATAAAACATGCACACCTTTTTTCTTTGATCATAGTTGAAGTGTTGAATTCAAGTGGAACATGCACAGAGGAGGAATAAGTTATTTAAGAACTGACATTATTAAAACAAGTACAAAATCTCATTCAAAAGTATGACAAGGTAAATTAAAAATCAGGCCAATTCAGAGCTTTCTGAGGCTGCAGCAATTAATTTAAAAATACACATTGCGGTCAGGACAGTTACATAGTCAATAGATGTAGTCATCATAAGATGCATTTGAAAATTACATTTGTATATACTTTAGTAAGAAGCTTTAACAGATATTTCTACATGCATGTTTATCCACAGAAAGGAAAAAAGTAATTCAAGAACCTGTGGGACCATAGGAGGAGGACATGAGAGCCTGTAAAGTTTTCAGGCTTACAGAAACGTACAAAAAATGAAATAATCTTTCCTCAAACTCCTGTTTGACAAAACAATGTTAACTCCTCTCTTTCTAAACTTTACCATGTGTGATGGCATCATTTTGTATGTAGAGAATGGGTTGGGTCAACTTATTGAGATTGGTTGTATGCAAATTTGTTGGCATGAAATATTCAGTAGAGAGGTGGGAGAGGCTTTAATGTCTTTTCCAAGTGGCATTGCTTCTTCCTACCCTCCATTCCAATACCTTCTCCAGAAAAGTTTTATTTCTCTTCATTTTCCATCTCTGAGTGACTCATCTCCTATTTATGTCCTTCCATCTTCTTGTTCCTCTGAGTTTTCTGGTATATGCTGTTGTTCTTCAGCTCTGTGGCTATTCATACTCTACTGTGGCAATGATGATACCCAGTTCCAACAAAAATAATACCTAAGAGATCTGGGTTTGTCACTGCTACTGTAACTGACTTGAGCACAAAATACTTACACCTGGCAGCAAGGGCAGAATCATTAGCTGAATATCTTAGAGATAGTAAAAATTTAAAAGTACATAATTTGGATTAGTCAGTTTCATGAAATATGTAAACAGTTCCAACAATAAATTATAAAGAGTATCTATTGAGCCTATGAATTAGTCAGATTCATTTTAACCACACAATATTTTTCTAAACAAGTTATTTCCTTCCTGTTCTTTCTTTACTGCCCTTCTGTATTGCATGTCTTCAGTTTCTTGCTCTTCTTCTCTAACATCTGATGCCAACTTGATAATTGTGAGCTTGACAAGCTTTAAAAGAAACTCTTGTCTGTTAATTAAATAGACTTTATTCTCTAGTTAATGAGAGAAAACCCCATGGCACGTATTTCTATGAAATGAAATAAATCATAGGTAATGACAACAGCAATAAGTCTCCTTAATCACAAAGTAGCAGTGTCCACATTTTTATTGCACTCACAAATGTCAGTTAACCTTGGCAATGAAACGGAATTACTTTTCTCAAAGGTTATAGTACTTGATATGGCTCAACTATATTTTTGTTATTGGCAGCAGGTTTGGATGTTAAAATACATGGATTGCATTAATTAAAATAGGGACACTTACGACTTAATGACCATTCTGAACTGAGAACACTAACCCATATGGTGGCAGGTAATTGTGCTGACAGAGACACTAGTGAGACTATAAGGCAAAATTTTTTGATCTATTTCATACTAACCTTGATAGCACATAATAATGCAGTACTCCTTCGTGGTTGCACTGCAGATACTAACAGCCATAGTGTGGATCCTTTTAGCTAACCAAAACTCTTTTTCCTGTTTCCTTTTTAGAACTGATAGAAATTAAGTTGTACATGCAAGAAAAACAGCTGACTGTACATGCATGTAGTTGCATGTAATTACCCTATGAACTCTCCCTGAAGTGTAGTAAATGGAGGGGAAAAAAATGGTCAAATAATTGTCACACAGGTTTTTGTTTTTAGGGTCATGGTGCTATGCAGTCTCTTGTTTCTTAAATTTTAGGAAGCAATGTCTGATTTTCTGCATCTTGCTTTCCTGTATGGAGCATTTCTGCTAAATATTTTTTTGTTCTGGTTTGGGTTTTTTTTGTTTTGTTTTTAATTTGTTCATTGTCTTGCTGGTAGGATGGTCGTTTGCGAGTGAATGATCAGCTTGTTGCCGTAAATGGGGAGTCACTTCTGGGCAAGTCAAATCATGAGGCTATGGAAACACTGAGGCGCTCCATGTCCATGGAGGGGAACATTCGTGGGAGGATCCAGCTGGTAGTTCTCCGGAGACTGGAAGTGCTGACAGAGGTGAAGCAGTAAATGCATTTATTAAATAAATGTCTTTCTGGTCCCAGTGTTTTTGCATGTAAGAGGTGATGGCTGAAGTCGCAGAGAACTCCTTCTGGTAGAATGAGTTGTTCACTTCCTGGAATCAGGAGTCAAACAGTGTTTCTGGCCGATATCTCCAGGTCTTGCTGTTCCTGTTGAGACCACACTAAAAGTTGTCTCTTATTTTAATTTGACAAGTATTAGAACAAAAGAAAATTTGTTTCCAAAAAAGGGTTAATTTAGGATTAATGTGTTGATGTAGTTTTGACTGCTACCTCCTCAAGGCAATAGCTATGACACAGACCATTATGATTCTTCTGACCTTAGTGTCTTGGATTTTACTTCACTCTTCCTTTTTTTTTTTTTTTTTTTTTTTTTTTTTTTTTTTTTTTTTTTTTTTTTTTTTTTTTTTTTTTTTTTTTTTTTTTTTTTGACCTTTAAGGAATTGCTATTTTGTTTTCCCTGGTCAAATGAAGGCTACCCCTTCAGGATGGATTTCTGAGTTCATTAACATAAAACTTTCTTAAGTAAGGTAATAAAATAAGAGAAGAAAGAAACTTTAATGGTTGTGTTTTCTAGATCTTTATGTTTGCCAATCCTCTCTTAATCTGAAAAGGATTGGTTTTATGATCTTGCTCCCTCTCTTTCATGTATGCATGCAGACATGCACCCTCTTCATATTCACCTAGATAGCATGTATCTATGCGTACTGCTTGCCCTTGTTACACATCTCAGTATTGACCTTTGAATAAATATTTTAATAGTTTTTCAACATCTGTGCAGCTCCTTAAAATAAAAATGCAAGTGAATTTGTGGTATAAAAGGCTGTGATAATCCTGTTACAGAATTCCAAGAGATTATTTCAAGTATCTTATTTATAAAGGATTGCTGGAACATTTAAAATATTAAGAACAATCATGTTTGTGGGTGTATTTGCATTAAATATCAGAGAGGGGAAAAGAATGCAGGTATCTTTCAGTATAATTAACTCTTAGTATTTTCCTGATAAGTTTCTATTTAACTTATTACCATCATTGATTGATTGGGAAAGATTTAGAAATATATTACTTTCTAAACATGCTCTAACTTTTTTGGGAGGATGCTTTGCAAAAGCCTTAATGATGTCAATCATGCCAGAAAAATATGAAAAAATATTAGCAATTCTGGAATATGTTAGAGGAAAACATATTTTGGTTTTCTTTAATTATGTAACAGTATTATACTCTAAGAACTGCAAAGTATATGTGATATTTATTGTGCACTCCTGTAATGCAAAAAAACAACCCACCTTCAAATAAAGCTCAGTCCTGCAAGATTTCTTCAGCAAACAACAGCCAATTTTATTTTTTTTCAAAAAACTTCAATCAAACATCAGATTGATCTAAGAAAATCATGAGGCTGCTTTTTATAGTTGTGTATAGTTTTGTATATTATCCAGATGTATGAAAGAGGTAAATAATCTTGACTTATGCCCTATGAAGAATACATAATGAGGTCTTGATTGAATCAAATTCATTTTAGACAGGAATTAATTTTTATAAGGTCGTCTTTAAGTTCAATTGTAATTCCATTTGAGTCTGGAGACCATAGCAGAAATGGGTTGTTGCCCATTCTTTCATTTCCCCAAAACAGCTTCCTGAGTACTGCAGCTCTGCTTGGTAGAAGGAGAATATGTTTAGAAATGCATTATTGTTTTTATTGGTCAGGACACTAATGGAGGTCTTCCATGACAGATATGTTTTATAAGCTGAATACTGTAATTAGGCTGGTTACTGATCAGTTGTTGGGGTATTGACTGTGTTACTTATCAAAGAGCTGGAAAAATAAATTTGTTGCTGTTAATTTAAGGCTGCCTATGCCACTGTGTACAAGTCTCCAATGGAGTAGTATGAATGTAGTAGTTTGAATGTTGCGAGGCTGAATTTAGTTGGCAGTATCCATGAGAAAACAGTAAATGTGGACCTCACGATGTAAGGCATCTTATGTACACTAAAGAGTTTCTAGTAATGAGAAGAAACATAATTGTTTGTGGCTGCTTGATGTGTGAACTTCTGTACAGTGGTTCAAAATAGCCTCTTCAATTCACTCATGCTGCACTGAGAAGGAGGAGAGAATGATGCATGTGCTGCTTGTCCACTGAAACTGCATTTGTAGCCATATCATCACCATGAGTATCCTGATATTGACTTGTGTTCTGAGGTGTATTTTTTTGCCATTTTGTTGGTGTTGCTTTTATTATTAATATTGCTACTATTATTATTGATATTATTGGTGGTATTATTGTTGTTGTCATTTTTTATTATTGCTGTTATTCTATTATTAGTTTATTATTATTTATTCTTTCATTATGTGTTTTTATTTTTATTGAGCTTGAAAGGCTGGTTGCAAGGTGAGGTAACACATTGTCCTTTCTTATGCATTTGTTTGCAGGCAGTCACTTGCCTATGCATTAAATCTCTTGCATCATTTTACAAAGAAATGATATATGCATTTCTTCTGTAGATGTGACTATGAAACTTAAGGAATGTTATCTTTAGAGTAGCATTTGCTGGCATAATGAATATGCATTTTAAAAATAGAAGCCAGTTGGAGGCCCCTTGAAAAAAACAGATATAAAATCACAGAAACTATAAAGGTTATTTTGAAAACTAACCATAATATTCCCCTGTGAGGGGGTTCTTTTTTCCCTAACAAGTACAGAAACGTCTTTCTGGGTCTGTCCCAGAAACTGGTTTTTGTTGAGTTTTTGTTGGTTGGTTTATTCCCCCCCTCTTCGCTTTTGAGCAACTGCTCAGGAGAATAAATTAGGCGATATGGCATGTATGGGGGGGAGGGGGGGGGAATGTCTCAAAAGAAAAGCTGACTAGAGGTGTGATAGGAGTTTGTTAGCTGCTAGCCAGAAGACCTGCATTTGGGAGTTTGGTGTAACTCCTTACTTGCAAAACTGTGCTAGTGTGTGATCATCAGAACATATGCACTCAGTCTCTGAGAGAAGGGAACCAGCTGGCTGGCAGAAAAATACCATTGGCATTGCCCGTGTTCTTGTGTTGACAATGTCACAAGCTGCCCTCCCAGATGGAGAATTTGAATGAAGCCAGTTGTGGGTCACAAAAAAAGTCTTCATTTTTGTCCATCATTCTTAATAACTGTGATTGCTTAGATATTGTCTTAATTCATGGTCAGCAAAACAGACAGTAATTTTGAAGGTATCTTTCAAGTTCATTATTTGAAAGGCAATATACAGTGAAAACACTATACTGTGCTTGTGCATGGTCTGTAGTGATGGCTGACCTTCTGCACTGTTGAACATTTAATTTATTTGTTACAATGTGTGGTTCTGTTTTTCCCGTAGGAACGCTCAGACCAGGGAATCTTTCAAAAATCAGCCTTTGATGGGAGCCATAGCTTGGCAGCTGCTTCCCGACACAATGATGCTGTTCTTCAGCAATTTGTACCATGCAATCCTCAGGAAAGAACAAAAGGTAATCTCTAGATATCCTTCTCTGTGCTAATAGAAAGTGCTCTGTGGTTTTGTTTTTCTGAAATCCACAGCCGCTAGAAAAACAGTTAATTAGAGTAAGTGCACACTATGTTACTTTGAGGCTTGAAGATCCAGCGAGGGTGGGAGAGCTGACTCAGAAGTTGTGAATTAGATTCCTGGCACAAATTCCAGTTTAAGTAACAGTTTCTAGCTCGCTGCCCCAACACGTAAGGTTGGATAAAAAACAAATGATGAGTGCAAAATATATGTTGTCAAAATGTTTATTTTATATATATCTTTAATGAGTACAATGATTTTTGTGTTGAATTCTTAGGTGATGTCTGAAGTTGTTATAACATTAATTTATCCAAAAGCATGTTATTAATAAAGTACACTTGCTTACTTCAGACTTAAAGGTAAAATTTGTTAGAAAGATTCCCTTAGTTTAAAAAATGGAATTTTATTAATGAACTCACTTAAAAATGTAGGTAGAGTGTATGTAGTACAAAGAAAATATGACATGTATGAGCATTTGCAAGCCTATAAGTAAGAGCTTTTAAGACTACTTATTTTCCTGTCACCTTTTTCCTCTGATGGTATATTGTACTATGCCATATACACATGGCTTAGCAAGATGCTAGTTATTTGAAAAGCTGAAATAATTGAGATGGTCTTGACCCCTATCCTTTTAAGTGCTCTCTTATCCTTCAAGCCAAGCAAACTAAATACCTTCTGGTAGGAAAAAAAAAGTAAACTTTTATGTAGGTGAATTATGCATTATTTTTCCCACTTCCCTAGACAACTGTGGAATCTGGGTGGCCTGCAGAAAGTAATTTGGTAGACTGCTATAATGATTGTGAAAGAGGGTAGATTTAGATTAAGTATTAGGACAAAATTCTTCACTGTGTGCGTAGTGTGACACTGGAACAAGTTGCCCAGAAAAGCTGTGGATGCCCCCTCCCTGAAAGTGTTCAAGTCTGGGTTGGATGGCACTTTGAGCAACCTGGTTAGGTAGGAGGTTGGAACCAGGTGATCTTTAAGGTCCTTTTCAACCTCTAACCCATTCTATTTATTTTTTTTATTTAAAGAATTATGACTATAGGGAATTATAGCAAAAAATATGATGACTTCAGGAGAGAGTGTGTGGAATGTGGAAGGGATGCTCTGGAGTGCTGCTGATGCCTGTTGTCAGGGAGGGTTTTAAATGGTCCTATGGGAGCTGTTTGGAATTTGAGTCAGTGGACAACAGATAACAGAGACTTTTCAAGCATTTACTAGAAGTATCATTGTATTTTGATTTCTGTTGAAGATCTGGAATTTAATTAGTAAAATTTAAGTGATTTTAAAGGAGAAGTGCAAAGGCACTTTCAGCAACAGAGTATCTGTGTTAGGGTTCTGTTCTGAAATTTTCTTGGTGAAAGACACTTTGGGCTTGTAGTAGTCCTGCACATGCTGAAATATTTCTCTAATTTTTTAAGTCATAGTATTGATTATTATTGAGCTAATATTCATTCTGCTTTCCATATGAGCCTGTCACTTATTTTTAGTCACTGATTCAAAAAAATGCTACCTGTGTACAACCCTCATTTAACTCAGGTTAAGAGTCACAGAACCTCACGTTCCTAAGGATGTGTAAGTCACAGACAGGGTGAGATTCTTGTGACAGGTGGGAACAGTTCCTTGTACATTCTTAAGGTGTACTATCCAGATCTTGGATGTAGAGGTCCAGATGGTACCGTTTTGCGAAGATTAATAAAAGATGGAGAGATTTTTAACATAATACAGGATTTAATGTAACAATTTAAGGACAGGAGCTGTACTACATTTCATAAAAAGTCATTTTCTCAATTAATGGTTTCCAATAAGTTATTTCCAGTATCATTCACTGCACTTACCAATAAAATTCACATAAAAGCTCAGCAAAAATACACTGAAGCTTGGCCTGCTAATATTGCTGTCTGTTTTAAGAGTCCTTTTTATTATACATGAGCAAGAAAAACTAATGTCTGGGGAAAAGTGATTCTAGCCAAAGCATTACATTTTGTCTTGCCTCTGGATATTTAAATAAAGGGAGAGGGGAGACTGATTCAATATTAAATTGCCAGTGTTTGTTCTATTTTTGCATGGGTAATACTTGCTGTCTTCAGGTCCTCACTTCTTTTGCTGCCAAGCTGTTGCACAGATTCAGTGTTTTTTAGAACAACCTCTTTGAGAAACTATATTCAGTGCCAGCAGCTTTACATTTCTGGTGTTGAAAGATTACTGGAATCTGTTTCATTAGAGGTTCTTATATGTTTTTTATATCCCTATGTCATACACCATTATAGGGGAAATGCTGTCATCTCTCTGGTTAAGCAGTAGAATAATCATAAACTCTCTCTGCTACCACAGACTGCTTAGTCTTCATGATTATACAAGTATGTGTTCTCATACACATGTGATAATGTCAAGATAGAAAATTAAGAAGTGAAATTTTAAATTAATGTTTAAATTTTTCTTGTAAATATTACATGTATCTTGCAGGCAGACTCAATTATGTGTTCTCTAAAACTGTTTAGTAGCTGAAAATCCAGTGTGTTTAGTCTAGTTTGTTAGCTATTCCTCTGATCATTCTGGATCTGTTAAGATAATTTCCTGAGGTCTTGAATGTGCAGCCACTGACTGTCTCTTAGATTAAATGCCCTCACTCTTTTGAACCTGCTCTCACTTTGCTGGGAGCTGGAGTCCCTTGTGATCATTTCCTATTTGCTCAGAAAGTTTTACATTTTACTGAGAGTACCATTTGTGTAACCAGTCACCAAACAGCCTTTGTGAATTGGCATGTCAATTACTGTGATTCAAAGTTAATATCACCTCATGATATACACAATCTCTCCAGCTGTGGCTATCAAAGGTTGCTTAAAATGGGTAAGGCACAGTGTAGGGTGCGGTCTGTTTTATTTTTTTCAACTTTTTCTCTCTTCTTCCATCAGGCATCTGTTTCCTCCTTTGGGTAGTCAGTGATTTAGAGATTTCCTAAATCAGAGCTTTTTTCTAGATCATTGTGCAGTTGATACCTCTCTAATTTATAGTCCACTTCTTCATATTTTTCAAAAAAATTAGTTTACTCATAGCAATGAGATCAATTATTTCATTACACAGGAAAAAATACTGCTTTATGTTTGCAGTGTGTGCTACTTCATAGTTCCACTGGGTCCCTTCTAGTTAATGTGTATGAGACAGTCAGTGTGAGCTTTTTTTACACCTTATTCACAGCTTCCTGTATCCCCTTTTATTGCTTCTTATTCTAAACGAAAGTATCCTTGCTCATATTTCTTGTAGGAGTGTTACTACCTGTGTCCAACTACCTTTGACACCTTTTCAATGTGTTTTTTAATTAAATTACATCCTATTTCAGATGGGGAGAATGAAAACTTAGATGTTGATTTCAAGGTAGATGTTTTGGACTTTTCTTAAGAACTCCTAATATCAGTTTTCTTTTGGTTTCACTAAACATATATACAAAGAGTGATCCAGTGCACTTCTGATGTGTTGTTCCAGAGTGGTAATCACTGAAGTAATAGCCTTTGTTTATGTGTCAGGAGTTTTCCCCTGTCACTTTCCAGTCACTCACAGGGAACTTCTCTGGCATTTCCTACTTAATTAATATCCTGAAATAATTTTGCAGAGCTTCATAGTGTGCTTATTTGTGATAAAACTGAGTTGGTTTACATTAAAATTTTTAATCTGTTGATTCATCTTTCAAATAATTTAATTACATTGAACAGTACACATTTGTCTTTGTTCTGAATTCTTTTTACTGTGAGAACTTGCCATTTACTGCTCATCTTCCAGTCCTTAAATTGCAACCTGAAGGACTATGATCATAATAATCTAAAAAGCCAGTGTGCACGTGTGTTAGGCAGCATACGTGTTTTCTGTGTCGAACTGGCAATCCATATTTTTTAAGGTCTCATAAGAATTTTTCTCCTCATCAGTTCATCTTCATTTTCTTCTTATGACATTCTCACTTTTCCGGAGATAGAGTTTCAACTGTCTCTTATCTTTCTGATCTCTAGTAGGCTATCCAGCCAATAGGAGTTTTATAGCATTCTTGAGCTAATAATGTGATTTTGTTGTGGGGTTTTTTTGTTTGTTTGCTTGCTTTTAGGGAACTGTCTCAGTGTTGTTATCTAATAAATGTGATCTATTGCTGTCTGTTTTGATACTCTCCCTGTAAACAGTTTTCCTCAAGTTAGATTAGTACATTCACACAGGATTGTGCAAAAAGACTAGTGGCATGTAGTGCAACAGAACTGGTCTCATGGAAGTATGGTGTGTCAGTATTGTTAAAATGCTTACCTGCCACTGAAACTCAGGAATTACTAAATGTCCATGTTTCCTGTTGTTTTGGAGGAATGAAGGCATGTCCTGCACTGAAAAATGTACAGAGTTTTTATAAGATTAGACCTTTAGCCTGAGAGGTGTACTTGCACTACTTTAATGAACAGCCCTAAAGCAGGCACAGCAGTCACAATAAAGACTACAGGTATGTAGGTGTTGTTGCTTAGCAAACCACTGAGTGGTTTAATTGAGTAGTTTATAGTGACTTTCTGGTGTGAGCTGAATGTCTTTTTCAAAGGTAAAGAAGGAATTACCATAATGGCAGGACAATGAAGACTCTAAGTCAGAAATAACTCTTGTTTTTCTTGCCATGGGGTAACAGAAATTTTTCTTCTCCTGAAGTTTTTGCTGAGAATGTGGTTTTCTCTCGTACATGAAAGTTGGTAAATGCTCCCCATCAAAGGGAATGAAAGCATGAACCTACAGTCAGTTAGGATGCAGCTATATAGAAGTGAAAATCCACTCAAATGGAGTAAAGCAATTTGTGCCTTGCACTCAACTTCAATATAAGCACAAAGTTTCCTTATATTTATCTTTAATTATGCATATGTAAATCTGAAAATCAGCTCCTCAGGAAATCCCAAGGGGTGTATTTTCTGCTTGGTGTGATTTTAATTCTAGTGTAGTTAGTTTAGGGATTTGAATAATTTGTGACTCACTTCAGGATTGCTTAAAGCCTTCCAGTCCAATTGGTGATGAGTAAACTGGTGTAGTGTACCTGTTTCTGCAGCATATTTAACCCCTTTTTAAATTTTATTTCAGAATTGCCAGTGTCTGATCATGGCAGTGGTGAAAATGAAACCCCTCCACCTCTCCCACCACATCCCAGTGAGGATCTGCTGAATGAGGATTATAATCATAGGTTGGACTTTGCCTGTTCTTAATAGTTACAGTCGTAATTGCTCATGCGTGGTTGTGGTAGTACTTGTAATTGGTTTAGTGCTTAGTTTTGCTTATGAACAAATGAAAAATTTGCTTTGTTCATAAGCTGCAGTGTGCCTGTTATCCATAACACATGGATCACAATACCCGGCATGTGTTCAGTAAAACAGTAGGAATCCCAAAATATAATCCATCTTCAAAAAAAAAAAGGAATTGTATTTAAACCTATGCCAGTGGGTGCTATGTGTAGATCCAGTGCCCGAAGTCTCTTAAAGCTTTTAAAGTTGAAGCCAAATTCATTTTATAGGAAACTGAATCTTCCTGTCCAACCAAAGACATTCTTGAGGATACAAAATGAAGCTTCAAGAAGTTTGAACATTGAAATATGTAGGGGAAAAAGAAATGGACACTTTACCAGTTGTAAACACTTTGGGAAGATTTTTCAGGTATTTTAAGAATGCCTTTTGTAAAGGCTGGTGTGCTTACTGGCAACTATAATCTTCAATTTCCTTAGCATATATGGAAATTTGGAAGTGCAGAAAAAAATGCAAACGTGTTGAAGCTCATGATGACATAATCTTTGTCTCAAGTAGCACTAATCCAAATCAGAGCATCATTTCAACTTGTCATCCTTCTAATGCTGGAAATTCAGTGTTGAACTCTGTTAACTAGTTTTGTGTCTATTCATAGTTTTGACAGTCATGCAACTATTTTTTTGCAATGGTTCAGGAAAGTATGAACTTCCGCTAAAAATTTAGCCATACTCCTCTCTTTGTGTGCATGGATGTGGTTAAAACTTGCTCTTTAAATGGCTGATTGCACATAGTAACACAGAATTGATTTTATTATGGATACCTCTTGAATATTTCATACAATGAGGAGTCTTTTAACTGTTTTGTTTTTACCAACATAGTCATTTCAGTAGAGTAATTTAATAATTTCTGGTCTCCCAGGCACATGTTCATGACATGGTAAACAAATAGAAGTCTACATAGACCAATGGAACTTGCCATTAAATTATCAGCTGCAATTGTTTGCTAGAATCTGTTCCCGATCTTTCAACAAGCTGGGAGTAAAACCATGCCCTTAAATTATAATGATGTATTAAAATGATAATGAATTTATAGGCCCTTTCTCTCCCACCTTGACTTTTTTCCTGTGTTGTATTGGTTTTCCATTTGGATCTTAAGTTCTGTTGAAATGGAATTGCTTTGTTCTGTTGAAATGAAATTGCATTTCAGCGAAATACTGGGAAAAGTGTTTTAACACGGTAAAACCAAACTTTTTGCACATTTTGGAAAGAGATTAGTTATTTGTGGAACTGGTTTTGGGTTTCAAGTATTTTTAAAAAATAGATTCTAATTAAAAAGAGACATGGGAGATCTCAGATGCATTGCAATGAGGTGTTTAAATTCCTCACAGGTGAAAGTTACTATGGGTTTCACCCAGGTGAAATTTTGAAATGTTTACGTATTTGCCTGAGCTGAATTAAAATAATTTTAAAAAACCAAAGCAAAACACCAAAAGGCAAACCATAATACCATGAAATACCTCTGCAGAAGTGGGACAAGGCTGTAAAGTAACTGTATATTAGCAGATGAAGTACAATTACACTACGTACATTGGTAGTATTATTTCCAACTTTCTGTAGCATGTTATTTGGAAATGCAATGTTTAAATAGAACTGGCAAAATTCAAATAAATCTCTACAACTTAGCAGGTACCAGTATGTTGCTCTTTTCTTCTACTAAGTAAAATATGAATTGCATAAAAGCACTTACATATATATTTGCAACCATGATGAAAAAAACAAGTGACTGGAAGTGTTAAGTCTCACAAAAGAAAGTTGAGGATGAATAATAGATTCTGAAGTCCATGGCTGTAAGCAACTGGAGGATGAAGCACATGTATGTTGTGTATGCTATAATTAGCTCATTTGTGTTTTGAACTGGTGCCTAAATATTTTACGTGTCTTTTTTTTTTTTTTCTTTCCTGCAGCCCTGTCATAAATTCATCAGTGTATTTAACAGATCAGCACATCAACTTCAGATCTTTGACACCAGCCAAGCAGTCTGAATCAATTAATCTGAAAGCCTCAAAAAGCATGGATCTGGGTAAGAAGGGTTGGGTAGACAAATGGGTCAGCTTTTTAGCCTCAGCCCATCTGCACTATCTCTGTTTCTTGCTTTTGTTTCTTAAATACAAACATCGGGGAGTAAGTTCTGCAAAGGAGCTGCAGTGATGGGGACAATGCTCTGCCTCCTGTAGCATGTAATTGCAAGTACCATTTTTATTGAAGCTGAAGAAAGGTTTATTTTCTTTTTCTTAAAAGAGCATTCTATCTGTTGTGTTGAAAACTTAGCTAAGGAAAAGAGGGAGCTTTTGTAAAATTGAGCAGAAAGAATTGCTGTTCAAGTTTTTTATGTCTAAAAAAATAAAACAGCAATAACAAAAGCAATTTTCTTATAGAATATAAATTATTGCAAAACTACACTGAAAAAGGCTAACTTTCCTAAGACAAATTGTGTATTTGTTCATTGACAGTGACAAACACAGGCAATCAAAGTGTTGCAGTAGCTCTTTATAAATGCTTGAAGAGTGGTAAGGTTAAGGTCCTCTACCCATCAATGCTGTGCAGAAAATCTTGCAAGGTGGGTGAAACAGAAAGTAAATGGTTCTTTCAATACTGGGGAAGCATTTTTTTGTGGGTAGAAGACAGAAGGGTTATTGCAGTTGAAAACCAAGTCATGTTTTAATGAGAGTTTAAGGAAAAAATTGTGAAGTTCTTAAGTCTCAAAGAAAATCATATAAGCTTTACTTTTTCCTTTTATTTCTTCTTTATAGGTCTTGTTCTTTATGTGGTTGTTTTTTTTCAAATTCAAGTGTTGATGTAGTAACTTTGAGACATACAGTTAGAATGTGTTTAGTTATAGTTTTGTGTGTTTTCTTGGATAAGATTATGTAAACTAGTAATAGAAAATGTTTAATTTTGTATATAGTTTCAGGGTAGCTTTTTGGTGGTGTTGTTTTTTATTTATTTTTTCCTGAAATGGTCTTCATTTTTTTACTGTTGATTTCTATTGTCATCTTAATGCAATATTTTAATGTAAAAGGAAGTGTCTGTACTCCTCTAATAGAGTGTAAGGGAAGTCAAACATTAATTCATGCATGATAAGAATGGATAGAAATCCATTTAGGGGAATTCTTAAGGCAGAATTTTAAAGATACTGCGTGACCAGACCAGATATTAGAAAGAATTTCTTTACTGAAAGAGCTGTTGGACAGTGGAACAGGCTGCCCAGGGAGGTCTGGAGTCACTGTTCCTGGAAGTGTTTAAAAGAAATGTAGATATAATTCTTAGCAACATGATTTAAGCACTGAACAAGTAAATTAGGATATGTATGGGGGATTTATGTTTTGGTTGGACTTGGTGATCTTCAAGGTCCCTTCCAACCAGGATGATTCTATAATTCTATGAAATTCATCCTTTTGCAGTTCTCTTCTACTGTTTTGATGATTAATGCATTAAATTTTAGGGTTTTTTTAAGATTGAAAATACTCCAAAGGAATGAGTTTGCAGACTTGAATCAAAATACGTATTTTATGTAGTCTGCTAGAAAAATAATTCTCAATTTCACTGAGTCTTCTTTTAGAAAGATTTACTTAGAGCTGCCACAGGAGAAAGAATGCTCACAAGCAGCAAAATAAAACTAGGCAATAGAAAAATTCATCGAATTAGGGAGCTAATGAAATAGTATAGTAAGAGTCTTTCTGGCTTTGATGACGGCTGATGGATACACAAAAAGGAAATCAGTTAAGTAAAGACTGGTCTATAATTACATAGATTGACAATGGAAACCCCTTTAACATTGGTATTTATCTTTTCAGTTTTAGATATTTTAGGCCCAGGAACCTTTGAGTGTTTAATCTGTTTTCCAGTCATACCTATTTAGAAAATAATGATACCTATAATTTTAAATTAATATTCTCAATGAATAATGTCAGGAAACAAGAAAGGGTGATCAAAAAATGTTCGGTACCATTCACACGTTGCATCAATTTATCATTGTCACTCTCCAGAGCAAATTTTGAAATGAAAGGGACTTGGCACATGAAGCAAAAACTGTAAGTTACTTGCCAGTAGAGCAGATATGGTTTAGTCTATTGATCCTTGGTGCATTTCTGATTGGACAGCTGGACAGGAGCAGAGGGCATGAACCAGTGCCACCTGGTTTTTAAGGAAGGGCTCTGTGCTGTCATGCACATGCCATGAGTCACATGAACTGACT